ATGGAGAGACATAGACCTGACAACAATATCGTCTGAACATCTAAATCCTAGACTTCTGAGCTTGTATGAGGTCACTCCACCATACATGTCCATTTTTCATTTATCTTTGTTGTGTTGTGTTTAAACTGACTTGAGTTGGGCTTCTGAGTGTCTGTCATTTGTAACAAAAAGAGTTCTGACAAATACAAGCTTCCCATCAACACTCGGAGATAATGGGAATATTATTATTGGTTTTACAGATTGAGAAACTAATGATTTAGCTCACAAATGAATACACGTCATTGTAACTAGAAAGAGAACTTCAACCCATGTCTCACATTTCTTAATCTAGAGTTCTTTTTTTTGTTGTTGTTATATTAAATTCCTAGTAACCAAATGTGTTAAAATTGCATATAAAACAAGGGAAAGTATGCTCTGAAAAAGGGGCTGCAAGTAAGACATCATGGGGTCTAAATATTCAATGCTTCCGGGGACAGATTGGCTGCGATCTGACTCCATTCTCTGCAACTCACAGCTCAGAAACTTCCACCATCCAGTCAGTAGGCGCTCCAGGACTGCCTGGGTGACAGATTTTCTTTTTTTTTTTAATTTTGAAGTATTTTGGTTTTTTTATTAGGAAGGATTTGGACAGCCACAAATGCTTTTTTTTTTTTTTTTTAAACATTCAGTTTATTTATTTATTTATTTTGACATTTCATTTTATTTTATTTTCCCATTTATTTTTATTAGTTGGAGGCTAATTACTTTACAATATTGTAGTGGTTTTTGATTTTCAAAAGCAAAGACTCTCAAGGACTTCCCTCAGGGACCTCCCTGGCGGTCCAGTGGTTAAGAGTCTGCTCGTCAATGCAGGGGACACAGGTTTGACCCCTGGTCTGGTGAGATCCCACATGCTGAGGGGCAATTAAGTCTATGGGCCACAACTAGAGAGTAGTCGCCCCCCCCCCCCGCCCCCCAACTAGAGAAAGGCTGAGAGCAGCAACATAGACCCAGAACAACCAAAAATAAATAAATAAAAATTTTTAAAAGCAAAAAAAAAAAAAAAATTAAGACTCTCAAAACAAATTTTCAATAGTTTCACTTTGAACATTTTCTCCTGATGGATAGTCTCTTTTTACTTCCTTCCTCCCTTCCTTCCCTTCCCTTTCTTTCTATCCTTCCCTCTTTTTTCTTTCTTTCTTCCTCCTTTCTTTCCTTCTCTCTCTTTCTTCTTTTTCCTCCCTCCTCTCCTTCCTTCCTTTTCTTTCTTTCTCCCTCCCTCCTCTTTCTCTCTCTGTCCCTTCCTCCCTTCTTTTTTTTCTTCCCCAGCCATGCACATTTGTGGGATCTTAGTTCCCCAACAGGGATCAAACCTGGGCCCACAGCAGTGAAAGTACTGAGTCCTGAACACTAGACTGCCAGACAATGCCCTCTTTTTTTTTTTTTTCCCCCTAGTTTTTGGGTTTCTTTCTATGCTTAAAAATTTTGCAAGACTTATTACAAGAAATAAAAATAGCAGTCTCTTGCTCCCTCTAACCCATTTTCTTGCCTCACTTTTTACTCTTTTAACTGATTCCTTTGTATTTTCCAGCATATTTTGAATAACATGGTTATACTGCTACTTACTGATTTTTCTGTTTTACATATTTTCTACTGGCTTCCCTGTTATGGAAGATGAAGATTTATCTCTCTTTTACACTTACACACCACCATCACCATTACCACTGGTTTATATGTCCCATTCTTCATTCCCTAATGTAATTATATCGTAATTTTGGTCATTTAGACTTATTAAGAGTGTGAAGTCGTTGTCATTGCTGTTTAGTTGCTAAGTCGTGCGACCCCATGGACTGTAGCCCGCCAGGCTCCTCTGGCCATGGGATTTTCCAGGCAAGAACACTGAAATGTGTTGCCAAATTTCCTTCTCCAGGCGATCTTCCCGACCCAGGGACCCAAGGCACCTCTCCAGTACTGCAGGCGGATCTTTACCACTGAGCCAGCTGGGAAGCCTTATTTAGTCATTAAAGCTTTGTAAATACTGCTCATCAATGAGTCATATAATGTCATATTAGTGTTCCTTTCTTGCAAAACTTTTTGCTTCCTGGAAGTTAATAATTATCTTTTCAGCTTATTTGTTTGAATGCTTAGTTTTCTAGGTACTTATTAATTCAGCCCCAAACATCCCCCCAACTATGAAATCCTCACTCAATACATTAAGTGCTTTGGATGTTCTAGTGCTTTCGTTTTGGCAACATCTCTCCAGGAGTCACTGGATCCACTCCAATCTGGACTAGTTGCTGTGGCCCCAGGAGCACAGTGTCTGCCCAGGACTTCTTTTCACTGTCATCCTCAGATTCCCTTCACTTTTCTCTGAGCTGTGTCTTTTCAGTCCATGTTTTCCTCCTTGGTTTATTTCTTCATTTTGATGAAGTACACCCCTCAATAATTTCCTGAATACAGCCACCATTTCCTGTAGTTGGGAAATTCATTTTTGAAGACTTTGCATGCTTGAAGACTTTGCTTTCCTACATCATGGATAGTTGGGCTATATTGGGGGTTTCTAGGCTGTAAGTAATGTTTCCCCAGAATCTTAAAGATATCTTTTCACGGCCTTCAAGTTCTAATGTGGCTCCTGCTGCTGCTAACTCGTTTCAGTTGTGTCTGACTCTTAGTGACCCCATGGACTGCAGCCTACCAGGCTTCTCTGTCCATGGGATTCTCCAGGCAAGAATACTGGAGTGGGGTGCCATTACCTTCTCCGATGTGTCTGCTAATAGGTCTGAAATCATTTGGATTCCTAAGTCTTTCTCTATGTTTAATTAGTTTTGTTTCCTTTCTCAGATCTGTTCTTCTCTTTATCCCAGATTTTCTGATGTACCTTGAAGATGTAATGTTCCTCGTTGTGGGTCTGTTTTCATTCACTATGCTGGCTGTAAGTGGGACATTTCAATGTGGAAAGTAACGTCTTTCAATTCTGGGGAATCTTCTTTAACTGTTCATCTGATAACTTCCTCCTCTCTGATTTCTCTATTCTCTTTCTTGAGTACTTATTATTCAGATGTTGTATCCCCTGGTCTAACCCAATTATTATGGGGCTTGTTTTGTTTTTGTTTTTTAACTCCTTTATTATCTATCTTTATAATTTTTTCTGTAAGATTTCCTCAAATTTGTCTTGCAAGCTTTCTGCTGTGTATTTTTTTTTAATTTCTGTTGTCAAACAGAGAAAGACAAATACTGTATGATTTTACCTATATGTGGAATCTAAAAAGCAAAACAAATGAATAAACATAACAAACTAGAAACAGTCACAGATAGAATAAACAGGTAGTTGCCAGAGTTGAAGAGGCTGGGGGGAGGAAAGAAATAGCTGAGGGAGATTAGAAGGTACAAACTTCCAGTTGTAAAACAAATGAGTCACAGTCATGAAATGTGCAGTGTGGGGAATGTAGTCAATAAATGTGCAATATCTTACTATTGTGACAGTTTGTAAGTACACAAAAAAGTTCTGCTATCATATTTTTTTTGGTTGGCATAAATTTCCTTTAATAATTTCTAAATTTCCAATAGGATTTAATTTTGAGGTTTAACGTATCAAGCCAGTATTATGCTTTACAATTTTAATGATTCTGGATTCCAGGTCATTTAAGATGAAAATAGAAATGCAAAGTTTACTTAAGAAATTTAATTTTTGTCTTCTATAACATCTAAATCTTCATCCTCTTTATCATCATCTTCTATTTTGTTGATCCTTTCTTAGTGGACAGGTCAATACCTGTCTGTTCCAGATAAACACTTAGCTGACAATGATCTCTGAAGAGATAATTTTGAATTTGCTCTTACAATATCTAAATGGGATAAATAATCTTGTAGATACAGAGAATGTCAGAAAACCTCTAAATCTTCTTCAACAATCTTTTGTATATTTTGGTAGGCAGCAGTGTAGACCTCTAAAGCTTTTCTGTGAAGTAACATTTCAATGGTGATAAATTCTGAAAATACAGTCTTTATATCCTTTATTTTCTGCTTTTCAAAATTGTCAGTAATTTCCTCCAGATGACGAGTTATTCGGGTCACATCCATTGTAGCTCTTTGTAATTCAGTTTCTGCCTGCGAAATAACATGTCGATCAGATGGGTTTCTCTGATGTGTTCTTTCTAACTGAGTTAACTGTTTAACTTCTCAATTCCTTGCTGTTAATGTGGCTTTGATATCATCTCACTTCATTTTTACAATGGTTCCATAAGCTTTCAAAGGTTCAATTACTTCAGCTTCAAGTCTTTTAACCTCAGCTTGTGGATAATGCTGAAGTTTGGCAAACTCATCAGCAAAGTTTTTCAGGCCCTGCTCTAAATGCGGAGTCTCAGTAGAGGCATATATGCTGATTTAATTCACCAGGAGGTCCGCTTTATCTCGCAGTCTGGCAGTTTTCTGCACATAAACAGCAAAGATTTGGCACAGCTCTCCAAAATGTTTCTCCACATTTGTGACAGCATCTTGCAGTTGTCTGGTTTGAGTGTCCTGGTTTTCCAAGCTGCACCTCAACATGCCGCCTCACTCACAACTAGAGACCCCGGGCTGGGCCCAATAACAGAGTCTCAGCGCCCGGAAATGAGCTGGGGCACCCATATCTTTAATTTGCAAGAGTTCTTTCTTGTTTGAGTGTTTCTTTTCATAGTGTCTGTTCTTGTTTCATTAATTTGATAGCTACTCATTTCTCTGAGGATATTAGTGATATATTTTTAATTTAATTTCTCTTTTTATTGTAAGAGAAGTCTAAATTTTCAAAAAAAGACAAGAACGGGTTGTCTTGTTTTTGCTTTTTGGTTGTGTCACGCAGCATGTGGAATCTTAGTTCTTCAGCCAGGAATCAAAACCATGACCCCTAAGTGGAAGCATGGAGTCCTAACCACTGGACCACCAGGGAAGTCCCCTCAAGAATAGTTTATTTATTTATTTACTTTTTGGTTATATAAATTAACCCATTTATTATAGGCTAGCAACATTATCAAATGGTGGTGCTTCTACTGGTCCTTCAATTCCTTCAGTCTTCTGATGGCAGACTTTACTATGACAGCAGAAGTGGTATTGTAGGTCCAGGCACCACCAGCTACTGTTTTCATGCAGGAACCACAGTGCCAAATGCCCACAGCTCTTCTCTTCATTTTGGCTTTGCCACAGACGGAGCAGGTATACTTGGCGTGCTGGCTGATTTCAATTTTCTTCACCATTTTCCTGAGGGAGGCACCATAACGGGTCCCGTATTTGCCCACGATTCTGACCTTCTTGGTGCATTTCGCCATGTTAATGCAACCTAGATCTGAGCTCAAGAATAGTTTAAAGAAAATTTTTCTTAAATCATTTGAGAGTAAATTGCCAGCACGACACTCATCATTACCAGTACTTGAGAGTATTTCCTCAAACAAGATCTACCTAACAATATCATTAGAATCAACACATTAATACTGATACATGACTGCCATCTAATCCACAGACACCAGTTAAATTTCTCCAATTGTCCCAACGCTGCCTTTTATAACAAAGGATCCAATTCAGGACCATACACTGCATTTATCATCATGTCTCTTTAGTTTCTTTCAGTCTAAAACAATTATTCCACTGTTTCTTTGGGTTTCATGATCTCGACAAGTTTTTCACAGGTCACTTACTTTGTAGAATGTCCCTCAGCTGGAGTTTCCTCATGACTGAATTCAGGTTACACTTTTTGGGAGCAAGAACATCATGAAGTGGTGATGTGTTCTTATCGCCTCCTGTCAGGTAATACTAGAGGCCTGTAGCTGCACTTGCGTGCTCAGTTGTGTCCAACTCTTTGTGACCCCATGGACGGCAGCCTGCCAGGCTCCTCTGTCCATGGGATTTTTCCAGGCTAGGATACTGGAGTGGGTTGCCATTTCCTTCTCCAGGGGATCTTCCTGACCCAGGGATCGAGCCCATTTCTCTTGCATCTCCTGCAGGCAGGTTCTTTACCACTAGCGCCACCAATACTGAACACACACACACACACACACACACATCAGTTAATACCCAGGTAATAACTGGTTTCAATGTGTCCCATTATTGAGATTGTTTTGATCACCTGATTAAAGCAGTATCTGCTAGGTTTCTCCATGTGAAGTTTCTCTTTTGCCCCGTGTAATTTAGTAAAAACTTTGTGCAGAGGTACTTTGAGGCTGTATATATCCTGTTCCTCTTCAAACTTTTACTCATTAATTTCTTTGGCTTAATGAATTTTTACCGCGATGGTTGCCAAATGGTGATTTTTCAATTTATTATTCCTTTTAATTTATTAGTTGTCATTCTAAAAGTAAGGAAAGAATTTCTCTTCTACCCATTCACTTATTTATTCATTTTTATATCAGTATGGACATGTAGATTCCTATTTTATTCAGTGTATTATAACCTTTGACTGTCATTATTTATTTGATGCTCAAATTTTGTTAATGAGAGTCCCCATCAAGCCCCTTTTATGTTCTTTTGCTTTGTCTGCATTATTCTTTAAGCATCTCTTTATTTCTGACACAGAAAGACGGTCCAGGTTTATCTTGTACTTTCCCTATCTCAACTCTGGAATCAATCATTTCCCCAAGGGTCCCAGGTTTCTTTTAGTGGAGGATGGTATTTAGACACCAGGATTTAGGCAGTAGAGGTGTTAATTGCCATTGGAGTATTGTTGTTTCCGGGCTTGCTAGGTTGTGCTAGTGGTAAAGAACATGCCTGCCAATGCTGCAGACGTCAGAAACATGTGTTCGATCCCTGGGTCAGGAAGAGCCCCTGGAGGAGGGCACAGCAACCCACTCCAATATTCTTGCCTGGAGAATCCCATGGAGGAGGAGCCTGGTGGGCTACAGTTCATAGGGTTGCCAGCCAAAGAGTCGGAAGTGACTTAGCACACACGCACGCATTGTTGTGTCCAAGCTCTCAGTGGATAAAGCTAGATAGAGCTCCACTTGCAGATACTTGCCTTCCCCAGATGCTAGTCGTTCTTACTCTGCTTAGACACCCATAACCTGTTTGGGGCCACTGTCACATCCAGCCCCACCCCATTCAGATGCTATCTCCCCTCCTTTCCGGCTCTAACATATCACATTGGCTATGGACATAACTCCTTATTCTGCTCAAACTCTGATCTCCCAAACTGTATGGCGGCCCCTGCCGCCCCTGGACAAATACTCTCCTTGCCCTGCCCAGGCTCTGACACCAAGCCAGGGGCTGTTGCCTCCTATCCCTCCATGCTTTGGGCTTCCCAAGTGGTACAGTTGGTAAAGAATCTGCCTGCCAGTACAGGAGATGCAAGAGACTTGAGTTTGATCCCTGGGTCGGGAAGATCCCGTGGAAGAGGAAATGGCAACCCACTCCAGTATTCTTCCCTAGGAAATCCCATGGACAGAGGAAGAACCTGGCGGGCTACAGTCTATGGGGTCTCAAACAGTTGGACATGACTTAGCAGCAGCAGCAGCAGCCTTGATGACAGACAGCTTGATGGCCTGTCTGACTCATCTGGCCTCTAATACACTGGCAGGCGGCTGCTGCCGCCACTCCCATTCCCTTTACAAATATTCTCTTTACCCGACTTGGGCTCAATACCTATGTGGAATCCTTGTCGCTCTACTTAGACTTCAACAGCCTATACCTGGCTGCCAGTGTCACCACCACTGTCTCCACCCCACAGAAGTCCTGCTTCACCCTGCTTTAATACCACCTCTCCCAACCTCTCATAGATATCTAGCTGCTCATACCCATGGCTTTGGGACTAAATTAGTGAAGGACAATAGAAGAGAGGAAGACAGGAGGCAGATTTCTACCTAGTCTATTTTCTGGAAGTAGTTTTTTTCTATTTGTTCTGGTCTCATCTTCATATAAGAGGACATTCTCAGATACCTAGTGATTCTTGGTTGTCTATGTGGGGGTGAGTGGGTGGAGGGGAGTGTTTGCTTATCATCTGGGCACTTTACTGATCTTGCAGGTCTATGTCTTTGAGGAACAGCTAAAGGCTGTATCTTTAGGTCTTGTCTCTCTTACCTGCTCCAGAACCTCCAGCTTTCTGTTGGAATGAGGGAAGAGAGAGGAGAGGTTGCCCAGCCACTTGCGGTCAGTGAGAGATTCTGGATGTCTAACAGCATTTTAACCAGACTCTCAATCCATCTCCTGCTCATAGTCCCTCCTCTCCACCACTTCGAGAGGTACCAATATCGTCAGTTCCTGAGCCCTTGCAAGTTGTGGGATGGAAATCCAAGTTGCTTCTTGGCTTACTCTGTCAGTTTAGGAAGCCGCTTCCCTGGTTCTGCTAACTCAGTCACTGTTACTCTCCTCTCTTGTTCTCTTTGTTCTTAAGCAATGTTTTGTTTTGTTTTGTTTTCAGTCTCTTTTCTGTCATTTTAGTAGAGTTCCAAAAGGAAGTGGAATTAAATGCGTGTTTAATCTGGCGTTGCTTACTGGAACTCCAATTTGAACTTTCAGGCTTTTAATTTGACTTCATGACTCAATATCGACGTCAAAAGCCCAAAGACAATTTTTTTAAATTGCATCTTCTTTTAACCCCTCATCTTTTTAGTTCCTTTGTGTTTCTTTCCATCTGGCTGTTCTTACCATTGACCTATTTGCCATCTCTTTCACTGTCCCATAGAATCCTCATTGCAATAGCAACAATAACAGTAATAAACAAATCTTGATTTCTCCCTGTTGATGAATAATTATTTGAACCAAAGTATAACTTGGGAACAGCCTCTCAGAAAGAGCTGAGAACAGTTCAGCCCATTAAAGGTCAAAACACAGTTATATCAGTTTTTGAGACAGAGGGCTCTATTATATTAAGTGATGTATTATTGGCAGTTTACACAATCCAGATTATGGGTCATTGTGGTTATAATATTTAGGAAGGAAGGATATCTCCTGAGGAGTTGTGACCCTTGATGAGATCAAGAAAGATGTTATCTCCTAAGGAGATCTAGTTAATGCAGATACATAATACACACCAAAGGGAAAGGAGAAAGCTCAAATGGGCAAAGAAAAATTTTGTTTAAATTTTTCTTATCATGACATAAAATATAAAATTATAAAAATTCATCATCCCTTAGCCACAGATCAAATTTATCCCAAGGCCTTGTGATTCTAGGTTCTCTAGAACCTACCACTTCTCTCCCTCCACATTTGATTCCCACTCAAACCTTCATTTCAAAAAAAAAAAACCTTCATTTCTCACCTGGACTGCCTTCTGATCTTCCTGCCTCTTGCCTAGCTTCATTCCATGCATCTGATTTCTTTTTCTAAAAGACAGATTCGGGGACTTCCCTGGTGGTCCAGTGGCTAAGACTCCGTTCTCCCAATGCAGGGGGGCCAGATTCTATTCCTGGTCAGGGAACTAGATTTCACATGTCACAACTGAGAGCCCATATATTGCAACTACAGATCCCACATGCCGCAACTAAAACTTGTTACAGCCAAATAAATAATTAAAAAGAAAAAAAGTGTGATTGTGACTCTTGCCCAGGTCACAGTTTTAAAATTCAAAGTTGAGTGCTTTCAGGGGAGTGTGCAGGCTGGCAGTCTTTGTGGGCCCCATTGCTTCCTCTAGGACATTGATTTAGGCCACCTGCCTTCCCCTAAAGGCATTTGAGCTTCTGATTCCCTGCTTAAATGATTTCTGCATTGCCCTCAGGTAAACTACAAACTCTATCTGACCTACAAGACATGCATGATCTGGCCCTGCCCACCTCTCTTCAGCCTCATCTTTCCCTATAGTTCTGTTCTCTTGCCAACTGAAACTACTTTATTTCAAACGTGCTAAACTGCATCTCGCCCCCAGGCTTTGTGTGTGCACGTCTCGTTCTCCCCTCCCCATTCATCTGGCTAATTCTGACTCATACCTCTGTCTCAGTTTAGACTTAATTTCTTTTGGAAAACCCTGCCAGTTATGTGCCCCCTCCTGCTGACTCTTGCAGGGAACTCTGTCTACTTCCTCTATAATAGCACTTATCAAACATAATTATAATTACCTGTTTATTGTTTTATTGTTCTATCCCCAGAATGTGTCTCAGTATTTCCACATAGGCTGTTCTGTGCTTAGTCACTCAGTCATGTCCAACTGTTTGGGATCCCATGGACTGTAGTCTGCCAGGCTCCTCTGCCCTTGGGGATTCTCCAGGCAAGAATACTGGAGTGGGTTGCCCTCCTCCAGGGGATCTTCCCAACCCAGGGATTGAACCCAGGTCTCCCACATTGCGGGCAGATTCTTTACCAGCCAAGCTACCAGGCATGTGTGCTCAATTGTTCAGTCGCCTCCGAC